TGTGTGTGTGTGTGTGTGTGTGTTAGTGTGTGGTGTGTGTGTGTGTGTGTGAGAGTGTGTGTCTGTGTGTGTGTGTCTGTGTGTGTGTTAGTGTGTGTGTGTGTGTGAGTGTGTGTGTGTGTGGGGGTGTGTGTGTCTGTGTGTGTGTGTCTGTGTGTGTGTTAGTGTGTGTGTGTGTGAGTGTGTGTGTGTGAGAGTGTGTGTCTGTGTGTGTGTGTCTGTGTGTGTGTGTGTGTGTGTGTGAGTGTGTGTGTGTGAGTGTGTTAGTGTGTGTCTGTGTGTGTGTGTGTCTGTGTGTGTGTCTGTGTGTGTGTGTGTGTGTGTGTGTGAGTGTGTGTGTTAGTGTGTGTCTGTGTGTGTGTGTCTGTGTGTGTGTGTCTGTGTGTGTTAGTGTGTGTGTGTGTGTGCGTGTGTGTGTGTCTGTGTGTGTTAGTGTGTGTGTGTGTGTGTTAGTGTGTGTGTGTTTGTGTGTGTGTGTTAGTGTGTGTTAGTGTGTGTGTGTTAGTGTGTGTGTCTGTGTGTGTGTGAGTGTGTGTGTTAGTGTGTGTCTGTGTGTGTGTGTGTGGTGTGTCTGTGTGTGTGTTAGTGTGTGTGTGTGTGCGTGTGTGTGTGTGTGTCTGTGTGTGTTAGTGTGTGTGTGTGTGTGTGTGTTAGTGTGTGTGTGTTTGTGTGTGTGTGTTAGTGTGTGTTAGTGTGTGTGTTAGTGTGTGTGTCTGTGTGTGTGAGTGTGTGTGTGTAGTGTGTGTGTGTGTGTGCGTGTGTGTGTGTTAGTGTGTGTCTGTGTGTGTGTGTGTTAGTGTGTGTCTGTGTGTTTGTGTTAGTGTGTGTGTGTGTGTGTGTGTGTGTGTGTGTAGTGTGTGTGTGTGTGTGTTAGTGTGTGTGTGTGTGTGTGTGTGTGTGTGCGTGTGTGTGTGTTAGTGTGTGTCTGTGTGTTTGTGTTAGTGTTGTGTGTGTGTTAGTGTGTGTGTGTGTGTTAGTGTGTGTGTGTGTGTGTTAGTGTGTGTGTGTGTGTGTGTGTTATGTGGCGTTAAGCAGTCTGATGGCCCGGGGGAAGAAACTGGTCAGTAGTCTGGTTGTTCTGCACAAGATGCTGCAGAACCTTCTTCCAGACGCCAGGGGGGGAAACAGTCCATGGTTGGGGTGGGTGGGGTCGGAGAGGATCTGGTGAGCGCGGGATAGGCAGCGCCTCTCTGCGATGTCCTTGATGCAGGGGAGCAGAGCCCCCGTGATCTTCCCCTGTCCTCACCACCCTCTGTAGAGACTTCCAGTCAGAGGCCCTGCAGCTCCCAGACCAGATGGAGATGTAGCTGGTCAGTTGGGCTCTCGATGGTCCCTCTGTAGAAGGTCTGAAGGATGGGGGGCGGAGGGATGCTCTCTTCATCCCACGCAGGAAGTGCATGCGCTGCTGGCCCTTCTTCACCAGTGAGGAGATGTGGGAGACCAGCTGAGGTTCTCGTTGATGTGCACCCCAGGAACTTGGTGCTGCTGACGACCTCCACTGCTGAGTCGTTGATGAGGAGTGGTGTGTGGGTGGGTCTGGATTTCCTGAAGTCTGCAGTTCTGCTCCTTGAGTTCAGATGAAGGTGATGATGAAGCTTTTTCTGTGTGGCTCTTATACGACATGCGCTTAATATCATCAGGTCCGGGAATCGAACCCGCGACGGCCGCATGGAGGACTCGAGGCCTCCAAACGTGTCGCGCTTCCCCTACGCCACCACATCACGTCTGAGATTAAGCTTTTAGTCGCAGTCTAGTTCTGGTTCGTTTTTCAGGTTTGATCTGAAACAGGTTCATCTGGAAACTGTGACTGCAACAAACCAGCCGGCAGTGCCCTTTGACCCCTGGAGCAAAGCGGTAGTCATAAACCCTGCTGAACACATCAGTTTCATCTTCCTTCTGATTGGTCCCGTGGCTTTGGGTCGGGGTCAGAGGTCAAACTGCTCCTCTGACAGGAAGTCAATGCACCACTTTGACCTGTCCTGGAGACCAGACTACTTCCTGGAGACTAGTTATGTTGGAGCTGGGGACCAGACTACTTCCTGGAGGTCAACTCTCTCTGCTGGTATGCTGACCTTGATTTTGTGTTGCCAGATCATCCTCCAGAAGTCGGTCAGAGTGGAACTGAGGGGCGCCTGGGAGGCGATGTATCTGCAGTTACCCGACGCCCCCTACAGGACAAACAGTGCTGTTACTACCAGAGCTTTCTCACAGCAGCAGGACACACCTGAGTGGTGAGCTGCATCACCTGGACGAAGCTGGCGTTGATGTAGTCGGAATCAGAACCTGAAATCTGCAGAGACAGAACCACTCGGGTCTGATCATCTGGATGGAGACATGGGGTCAAAGGGCAGAGAGGTGTTAAAATACTACACACTTCTGCTAGGCAAAGGAAAGAGACAGTGAAGACAGCAGGACGGTGTCTTCATACATGGCAGGATGTCCTTGTATCGGTTTTTCTTGGCGTTTTCCTTTAGGGATCCAACCTCTGTGGTCAAACTGTGATCTCTCTTTAACTGGAGCGACTGGGAACGCACCACCTGCACACACACAGAGACACAGAGAGACACACAGAGACAGAGACACACAGAGACAGAGACACACAGAGACAGACACACAGAGAGACACACAGAGACACACAGAGACAGAGACACACAGAGAGACACACAGAGACAGAGACACACAGAGAGACACAGAGAGACACACAGAGACAGAGACACACAGAGACAGAGACACACAGAGAGACACACAGAGACAGAGACACACAGAGAGACAGACAGAGACACACAGAGAGACACACAGAGACAGAGACACACAGCTGGTGTGTTACTGATTTTTCAGATCTTTGGTTTTTAATAATTGCTTTTGTTTCTTGTTTGCGTTTTGTTCTTTAAATCATGTTTTATTTTTGTCATTTTTACTCTGATTTCTAACAGAATTGATTATTGTTTAATTAACCAAGTATTTCAGACTGGTTTTCTTAACTGGGACGTAGTTTACTGGAAAGATCATCACCAGTGAGATTTATTAACTCTGCTACATGTTGCGCTAGCAAAAACCAGTCAGGACCAATAAACACTGAGGGGTCCAGTAAGAGACTGGCACCAACTAGTCAGAACTGGGAGCAGAACTGGGAGCAGAAACTGGTTCCCCTCCTGTGTGACCGGTTCACAAAAAACCAGCAGAAATCGAACGAGGAAGCAGAACTTCCTGTGGCTCAGAAACCAGAAGCAGAGACCCGTTCAGGGAGTCAGAACTAGTGGGGACCAGTGGGGACCAGTGGGGACCAGTAGGACTGACAGAGACCAGCTGGAACTCAACAGGCGCTCCGAGTCGCTCCACACTGTGGAGTGGTTTTGGGTCACAGGGAGAAAAACCAGAACCTGTCACTGTCTTGAAGGTTTGACCGTCATGTGCAGAACACGGCTGGAAAAAGCCCAACCCAGCAAACCCTGACCCTTGACCTCTGACTTTCAGGCATGGTGGAGGAGGGATGGTGCTGTGAGCCTGTTCCAGGATTTTACTGGCCGAATCATGAACTGCTGTCTGACCAGTCCTAACCAGTCCAAACCAGTCCTAACCAGTCCAAACCAGTCCTAACCAGTCCAAACCAGTCCTAACCAGTCCAAACCAGTCCAAACCAGTTCAAACCAGTTCAAACCAGTCCTAACCAGTCCAAACCAGTCCTAACCAGTCCAAACCAGTCCTAACTAGTCCTAACCAGTCCTAACCAGTCCAAACCAGTCCTAACCAGTCCAAACCAGTCCAAACCAGTCCTAACCAGTCCAAACCTGTCCTAACTAGTCCTAACCAGTCCTAACCAGTCCAAACCAGTCCTAACCAGTCCAAACCAGTCCTAACGTCCTAACCAGTCCTAACCAGTCCAAACCAGTCCTAACCAGTCCAAACCAGTCCAAACCAGTCCTAACCAGTCCAAACCTGTCCTAACTAGTCCTAACCAGTCCTAACCATTTCAAAGTGCATCTAGTTTGGATTCAAGCTGTCAGAAAGTTTCTCTGGTGGCTGTGATGAGTTCAGACGTGTGAAGCAGAGGAACAGCAGAGCGACACTGTGAGCCTTAAAACCACAGCACTGCTAGCGGTTAGCTAGCTAACCCTGAACAGACAAGGCGCCATGGCAACAGAGGATGTGGTGAGACTGAGGACAGAGTCGTCTAAAGATGAGACAGGATGGAAACGTCTTCAGAGGACGGAAAACGTCTTCAGAGGATGGAAACGTCTTCAGTGGACGGAAACGTCTTCAGAGGACAGACGTCTTCAGAGGACGGAAACGTCTTCAGAGGACGGAAACGTCCTCAGTCTCAGTGGACAGACACGTCTCTGTCTTTAGAGGTTTGCTGGTTCAGATGTCAGATCGACTGAACTCGACATGATGGCTTCTCATCTACAATCGGCTAAAGGAGGACTTCCTGGAGGTCAGAGGTCAGGCTGCGGGGAGTTTCTCTCTGCTTCCTCCTCTTCAGTCTCCAGAGAGGAGGAGTAGAGAGGTGGTGGAGGTGGTGTCATCCTGTGGGCTATTGAGCTGAAAGCAGCAGAGCAAAAGGAAACAGAGCTCCGCCTGTCAGCTCCTCCTCTTTAGTTAAAGACTCTCTGCTGACCTTTGACCCCTGGCTGCTTCCTGCTTGTGTTTCTGCTTTGCCTGGTAGTAGGAAGGTTGTTGGTTTGAGTCCTGTTCTCCCTGGGCCTGTGCGTTTCTCTCTAGCAGCATGCTGGTTGTACCGCGCCTCTCCCCAGACCCTTGACCTCTGACCCCAGCAGGATGTAACGCTGCAGAAGTTGTGTGCTGAGGTTTCTGTGGTAAACTGATAAGTCAGTAGATTTGAATTCAGCTTTAATCCACAAGAAGTTTCTACGCCTTCCTGTAAATACTGCATGAATCCCAGGGAACCCAGAACGGTTCCTGGTGGAACCTCCACCTGAACGACCGGCCAGTGAAACAATCAAATGTTTAGAAAGTGGCTTCATAGTTTAACCAAATGAAGCTGGCAGCAACTTTCTGCTGCTTTGAATAACCGGCTCAGAGAGACGCTGCAACACTGGCAGCTTTTTCCTGGGAAGTTTCCCTCTGAGGCAGCAGGAAGAGAACAAACTGTCCATCCGCCAGGCCCGGCGCTCCAGGCGCTCCAGGGCTCCAGGCCCGGCGCTCCAGGCGCTCCAGGCCCGGCGCTCCAGGCCCGGCGCTCCAGGCGCTCCAGGCCCGGCGCTCCAGGCGCTCCAGGCCCGGCGCTCCAGGCGCTCCAGGCCCGGCGCTCCAGGCGCTCCAGGCCCGGTGCTCCAGGCCCGGTGTTGCTGCCGTCAGGAGTTAAAAGCGTTTTCCAGCGGTGACACTGACCTGGTACTCCTGCTCCACGGCGGCCGGGTCCACGGCCCTCAGGGCAGACAGAAGCACGTCCATGACCAGCTCCGGTCGGCAGCTCACTCTCACTCTGACTGCGTCTCAGTTCTGCCTCTGACTTTAACCGTCAGTTAATAATTCAGCTCCTCTCTCACTTCACAACCAGGAAGTGAGGAACCTGAATGACACAAACCGCTCCGGACCGATTACCTCACTGGCCTTTATTGTGTCACTTCAGCAGAGGAGGCGTCCTTCCTCAAACACGCAGCTGGTCTCTCACCGTGGAGCCACGTTTGACCTGCAGCCCGTCAGAACCGGGTCAGCCGCAGAACCAGAACCGTCCTTAACGACGACAAACAGAAACAGAGCATTCAGCCAAACGACTGCAAACCTTTCAGAGGAGAAGAGAAAGAAGAAGCCAGACAGCAGAATCTACCATGAAGAAGAACCGAGAGTCCAGAACCCAAAACACAACAATTTCATAAAAACATGAGAAAAAGCACCAAAGATGTAAATCTATATGTCACCATTTGAAGAAATCTGCCAGATATAATCAGGGTTAGGGTTTTTGTGGGCGTGATGTCGATCTGACATCCCGTGCAAAAAGTCAAATATATACAAGTAACTTTAACTCCAAGCACACCAAAGAAGAAGCAGCAATTGTGGCAAGGTGCAGATGATGTGACAAAGGTCAAAGTGCAGAACAATATGGCTGTGTGTGGGTTGGGGTGTATGTGAGGTTATGATATGTGTGGGAGGGGGCGGCAGGAGTAATGGCTCTGACGGCTGTGGGGAAGAAACTGTTTCTCAGTCTGTTTGTTGTAGTCCGTATATTCCTGAACCGCTGGCCTGATGGCAGCGGCACAAACAGTCTGTGGCCCGGGTGGCTGGAATCCATGGCTATGGATCCAGCTCTCTTCTTGACCCGGCCCATGTAAATAGAGTCCAGGTCCGGGAGGGGGCATCCCACAATGCCTTGTGCCGTTCTCACCACCCGTGTCAGTTGTTTCCTCTCCAGTGCTGTGCAGCTACCGTACCACACAGTCACGTTGAGGCAGAGGACGCTCTCGATCGTCGCCCTGTAAAAGTTCACGAGCAGCCGTGAGGAAAGTCCAGCCCGTCTCAGTTTCCTGAGGAAGAAGAGCCTTTGTTGTGCTTTCTTCACCAGGTGGGAGGTGTTGGTATTCCAGGAGAGGTCAGACGTGATGTGGAGGCCCAGGAACTTGATGTTGTCCACACGCTCCACCTCTTCTCCATCTATGAGAAGGGGAGTGTGACCCGTCCTCCTGGACCTTCTGTAGTCCACAATGACCTCCTTGGTCTTCCCTGTGTTCAGCACCAAGTTATTGGCTGAACACCACTGAGTGAGCTGCTGAATCTCCTCTCTGTAGTGGGTCTCGTTGTTGTCTGAAATGAGACCCACTACTGTTGTGTCGTCCGCGAACTTGACGACTGTGTTGGTGGGGTGGATGGCAACGCAGTCGTGTGTAAACAGGGTGAAGAGAGCAGGGCTCTCTATTCTCACCACCTGAGGCCTGTTGGTGAGGAAGTCTATGATCCAGTGGCACAGTGAAGCAGGCAGCCCCACCTTGAGTAGCTTCAGCACCAGCTTGTCTGGGATGACGGTGTTAAATGCTGAGCTGAAGTCTACAAATAGCATCCTGACGTAGGTGTTGGGATGCTGCAGATGGGACAGGGCTGTGTGCAGAGTGATGGAGACAGCATCCTCTGTTGACCGGTTCGCTCTGTAGGCGAACTGGAGGCTGTCCAGGTCTGCAGGGATGAAGTGTCTGATGTACCTCAGAAGAATCCTCTCAAAGCACTTCATGATCACCGGGGTCAGAGCGACGGGCCGGTAATCGTTCAGGCTGGTGATGGTCGTCTTCTTCGGTACAGGGATGATGGTGGAAGACTTGAGACACTCAGGAACCATGGTGAACTGCAGGGACAGATTGAAAATGTCCAGAAACACTCCTGCCAGCTGGTCGGCGCATGTTTTCAGCGTCTGGCCTGACACCTTGTCCGGTCCTGTAGCTTTGCGGGTGTTGATCCTCCTCAGGGTGGACGTCACCTGGTGCTGCTGCAGGACGAGAGGCTGGTACTGCTCTTCCAGTCGGGGTAGATGTACAGCTTCTCTGCTGCCCACTGTGTCAAAGCAGGAAAGAAGCTGTTTAAGGTGTCAGGCAGGGTGGGGTCGCGGCTGGTCAGCTGAGTGCTGTGTTTGTAGTCTGTCATGGTCCTGATGCCTCTCCACATGCTACTGGGGTTGTTGTTGATGAAGTGTTCCTCAATCCGCTGTTTGTACTTGAGCTTGGTCTGCTTAGTTCCTTTTTTCAGTTCCGACCGGGCCCTGCTATAAACCAACCTGTCATTTAAATGTGTCATTCAAAGCCTAAATAGATATAAAGTAAATATGTTAGTTATTTGTGGCAAACTGAATTTCTCATTGTTAGTGGGTGGGGCTAACACTGCTCAATGGTGACTGGTCGGCAGTTAGAGTATTTTTACAGGATTTATGGTGAACAGGAAATGTTCACCATAAATCATTTGAAGATATAATTAGTACAATTGACCTTTATAATTACATATTCAACGAGAAAATTCCTGAAGAAATTTAACCGGGGCCTGCCAAAGTGTGCCCGTCGGTTTGGACCCAGAGTTCTGATGCTAAATGCTACCTTTGCTGAAAAAATGACAAAGTATCATGTGAAGAATCACAAGAATGTTCACTAACATGGACTTGCACCATTCAGTATGTTGAAATAAATGTATAAGCTCAAATTAGCTGAAATGCTAATGTTAGCATGAATACTGTCAGTAGCATGTGGACCATCACTAGCATGATGTCTGTAATTGACTTACTCCAGTCACTATACTAAACATGGGTAATAAGCCAGAGAAATAGCTAATACCTCATTTAAGGTAAAAGGCTAATGCTAATGAGCCTGAGAGAAATAGATCATGCTGGATAATCTTACGGCAGTGCACTAGTGGGGAACAGTGAAATGCTAATGTTAATGCACTGTCTTGCTGTTTAAGACAGTGTCCTAACTTGAGAAGAAAAGATAATGCAAGCTAATATCATTGCAGCGCCTGTGGCGCTGCATTAGCCATAGATGAATCTTAAGGCTTTTATTTTGAAATTTTCATTAAGCTTGATTTTAAATGGCCAATCTAATCCCATGTGTAACAGTGATTGGGTTCAACCAGCTATATAATGGTCAAAGAGCACTTACTTGATGGAAAAATTGTCAAGACTTTTATTTTGAAATTGTTTTAAGCTTAATTTAAAATTGTCACATTAATTCCATATGTAACTATGGTTGGTCAAAATCAGTTATAAAATGCTTAAAACACAAGTAGTTCTAAAAGCCAGCTCTGCCACAGTAAAAACTACAGTGATGCGTTTTTGTAGTCCTAATCAGCTGCTGTGTTGCTATGGTAATGGATCCTCTGCCAGCTGTCGTGTGTGAGACAGAGAGGTGGAGACACATTTCTATCTTTGTGAGACGCCCAGTCAGTTTTAATGGAAAAAGCAGGCCGAACAAGTCCTTGCCGTTCGGGAACCGTGATATGTATCGGAAAACCGTTTGAAGTGTTTGAGAGAGCTATCTGTCGTCTCCGATAGTCCTGCAATTCACATCTGTACATCACTCACGGTAATTGCAGCAATTAGAGAAAAATGGTGTGAACTGAGGTCTGGCAATTTCCATAAAAGTATGAAAATATATGGTGGAGAGCGTCAGTTACCCTGGAACATGATTTCGCTCAAAAGCACCTTGACAGAAAACCGTAAGCCCTAGGAAAATTTTGAAAACATTTTACCGGAGCAAACATTCGTATCGATGTCATGACCGAGTTTCATACCGATAGCACGATATTTGTGGGCGTGGGCGATTTCAAAATTGGTTTGGGGTCAGAAATCCACTTCATTTTTCACTCTAGCAGAGCGGCAGATGGTGGCAGTTATGCTCTGCGTTTCGGCAGTTGGAAATTTCGCTCGTTTTTCGCTTGTTACGCGTTGTAACGCGATTCCCCATAAAAGTAATAGCTCCAATGCAGGGATCGAGCCGCACGTTTTGATACCACTTTTGTGGGTGGGCTCGCAGCGGTGCGAGCCGCATTCCGGTCTACGGAAGAATAAGTTAATAAAGAGGCATTCTATTAGGTGAAGATTAATAGGTGCCTCCATGCAATGCATGGAGGCAGGCCCCAATGACGTGATTGGGTGTTTAGCACAGTTATATAAATAGATACGATGTTTTTATTCAAGCTATCGATGAATGAATGCAAAAAGCGGCCAAAGTCTAAAGAAACCCCTTCAGGAGAAGAGTCGATCCGGGTTTAGCCGGCTGTTGGAATGAGCTCAGAAACAAAGTGGGCTCTGAGCTGCGTCTCAGTGTCAGAGTGAGACCTCTGTGCTCTCAGCCCATCTTCGCCGCTGCTAGCCTGCTAGCTAGCAGCTCTCCGGGAACATGGCGGCGTCGCAGGCTCTGTCCGAGGAGGAGTTCCACCGGATGCAGGTGAGAAGGAGCGGCTGGAGGCTCCTCGTTGGGCGGCAGGTGCTGTCAGGTAGCAGGCACACCCGAAGGGAGCGGCGGCCATGCGGAGCGGCGCTGCCGGAGGACGTTAGCGCTCCGTGCTAACCTTTAGCTGCTGATCTGGAGCGGGTATCGGAGCGAGCTGGTCGGGTCTGCGGGGATGCGGATGCGGGGTTGGAGGGTTAAATGCGTTTATCTGGGCCTGTGACGGCCGGAGGTCTCGGACTGAGCCGGGACACCTTCCAGACTGATGGACGCTTTCCTTTAGCTGCCAACTCGCTAGCCTCTGTGCTGCTAACCGTTATGTTTCTGTCAGCTGACAGTCACCGGGTCTGAGGGACGCGGCTGGCCGCGTTCAGGTCCAGCTAGCTCGGCCGCAGGTGGAGCCAAGAGCCGTTGCATGGACCGGGCCGAGAGGTGATGGTGTTTAAAGACAGTGATCAGAGTATTTAGTTCCAGGAAAAAGTGAGTCATAGTCAGGTGATTGTAGATGACCCGACCAGGACATCCGGGTTCAGACGCAATTAGGAGCAAAGTGCACTTTCTTCATCAGCCCTCACATGTTGGACGTTTCAGGAAAAGAAAAGTCAGTGGAAGGAAGACAAACAAAAGATCTGAAGGTGTTGCGTTCAGGTACCTGTGATCAGAGGGTCACTCCGGGCTGGAGACGTGAGGAAAGCCGGATCGAGAGATGGAGGATTTCTGGGAGAAATGGAGACAGGTGATCCAACATGGAGGTGCCTGAATGGAGAAGATGGAATATTTCATGTGCTCAGATGGGTGATTGTTGGTTTCTTGGGAAAGTTTTTCGTTTCTGGATAAAAATGCAGTCCAGAGGTCCCAGTGAAGAATGTTTTCAGGTCTGAAGCTCTTAGATGTTAGTCCAGCACATCATTTAATATTTCAGTAAAATGTACAACTTGCAGATACAAGAATCTAATGTGGCACAGATGTTCCTGGGGATTTAGTGTTAAGAAAACCCCCAAATCTTTAGACACTGGGAAGAGTAAAGACGTCTGCTATAGCAGTGGTCCCCAACCTTTTCACCACCATGGACCGCTCCAGGCTTGGCAGTTTTACGGCGGCTCCTCCCTGTCCGATCCTCCTGTACTGTGAGGTGTGTCACAACGACTGATCTGGTCCAGTCAGTAGAACGTCGTCGGGACCGCGCCGATCAAAAATCAGGTATATTTGTCATTGTCTTGGCCCGATTATCCCATTCTGTGGGTTTTCCCTGACAGTGAGTCAGAACACAGCCTGTTAAACGTGACAGGCATCAGAAAGCGCCGTGACGCAAGAACGGAGGGGAACCCGAACAGCTGACACGGCGTGACGGAGAGTCTGGTCCTTCACATCATCTGCTGTCAGAGTAGCAAACATGCAGTTTTATCACTGCTTCTACATCTTATTATTCTGAATTCACTGTGGGATGTTGGGGTTTTACTAGATCTTCTTCTGGAACCGGGATGTTCAGTGGAACCGGTTCTGGTGCCGTGTTGCTCCTGGACTCACGAACTGACCGAACCTGTTGGACTTTTATCGGCTCTGAGGTCACAGAGGTTTGTAAAATCGGCCAATGATCCTTAAATCATCTCGACCCCTGACCTCACGCTGTCTGACTCTGGTCACTATGGTAACTGTTATATATCCCTTCAAAATAAGATGCGCCACAAAAACCAACATTTAGTTTTCTAAACATTTTAACTCAGGATATCGACTGATGGACCCTGAGCTGTTTCTCCTGCTGGAGACGCTGAAGTGATGCTCAGGGAGACACTGGGTCTCCATGGTGATGCAGTCTGAAGCTTCATTGGCTCATCAGGTCACCTGACCATCCAGAGCAGCTTGGACTGTGGGAATCAACCCACCGGGACAAACCCATCCTCCTGCCTCTCTGGGCCTGCAGACAAACTTTCCAAAGAATCTGATCTGGTTCTGTTCATTTTGCTGCTTGTGGATCAATGTTGGCGCCAAAACACAGCCGAGAGAATCCGGTAAAGGATTTTCAAAATAAAAGACCCTCCAGACTTACATAATACAGAAAACAGAAATATTTCATTATTTTGTGTGCGGCTCGGTACCAACCAGTCCACGACCCGGTACCGTTGGGACCACTGTGCTGTAGTTTTCAAGTAAAATTTATTTCTGCAGTAATTTGCCAATATTAGTCACAGGTGAATACTTTTTGTGTCAAATTATACATAATCATAGAAGTTAAATGTACTGATAATGCTTTAGAAAATTCAAGATGGTGGTCATGGAAAATTTACTTTAGCAATGAAATTGCCAAGTAAATGAATGACATATATAGATCTATATATATATAGCTCTATATATCCTCTGAGCTCGGGTCCTCTACCAGAGGATATATAGATCTATATATATAGATCTATATATCCTCTACCAGAGGATATATAGAGCTATATATATATATATATATATATATATATATATATATATATATATATATATATATATATATATATATATATAGCTCTATATATCCTCTGAGCTCGGGTCCTCTACCAGAGGATATATAGATCTATATATATAGATCTATATATCCTCTACCAGAGGATATATAGATCTATATATATATCCTCTACCAGAGGATATATAGATCTATATATCCTCTACCAGAGGATATATAGATCTATATATATAGATCTATATATATATAGATCTATATATAGATCTATATATATAGATCTATATATCCTCTACCAGAGGCCTGGGAGCTTGAGGGTCCTGCAGATACACTAATACACACTCCTTCTGTGCGGATCACCTTCCCCCTCTTTGTGATCAGCTGACCACACTTCTCTAGTCCGAATGACATCCCAATGTCTGTGCTGTAGATCCTGGTGGTGTGGATCAGTGAGTCGATGTCTCGCTCACTCTTGCCTGAGACTCTTTCTTGAACATCTGTCACAGTGATGGTTACCGGGGCTTGCTCAGGGAGGTTGCTGTGGTCCTCTCGTAGAGAGATCAGCCACTGTGCATTGCTGTTGTGGGACGCCTCCCTTTCCCATATGCCTTTCCAGTATTGTTCAGTCTCCAGCCTTGGTGGGTCTGCTCTGTTGTTATTGTTACCCTGCCATTGAGAGTACACCTTAGCTGGTTGAGTGGAGAAGAGCCGGTTAATCCTTCTGGATTCATTCTCCCTTGTGTATCTCTTTAGGCGGCTGGCCAAGGCTTGGAGCCTCTGTTTGGCAGTTTCAAGTGCTTCAGGTATGGGCATCTGGCTGTACTTTCTGGGTACTGGTCTTTCATTGTACCATTGTGGAGCTCTGACAGTTGGCTCACTTCCCTCCTTGTTACCTTGATTTTAGCCTCTAACCGTCTTTTCCATGGTGGGTATTGGGTCTCATGGTTGCTCTTATAGCCAAGTATCTCAAGGATCACTGATGCTGAGTTGTAGATCAGCTCATTGGTTTCTGTTATGGTGTTGGTAGGGATCGTTCTCAATGAGACTTTCTGATGGTACTTCACTCAGCCGTTGTAATTGGCGCGTTTGATTACATTCGGGTCATGATTCTCTCTCTCAGGTCAGCAGCTGTCTCGTTCAGCTCTGTTTCGCTCATTGGGGCCGTGTATCCCCTCACTGGGTGGGGACTTGTAGTTAAGTCCCCACAGTCCTGACATCCGGGTTCCTCCCTTTTGCCGTAGCATTTGTGTTGTATCTCGTCAATCTCAAGTTGTGATAGCAGTTGCCGTTTGCGGATGTTGGAACACTGAGCTACTAGTTGTTTAGCGCTTAGTGTTGACTGGGGATGTCGAAGTAACCATTCCTTCCCAGTCTTTGCATGTAACCTCTCTCACTAGGGTTACTTGAGTAGTAGCATTTCAACAGATCCACATTTTCATCTCTCGCCCATTTCCGTCTTGTTCCAGTAGCCCATTTGTCATCAAGGTGCTCTGGTTCCCCAACACCTGACGCAGACCTTGTTTGGCCGGGCGACGTCTGAGCCGGCATGTTACGCAACTTAGTATCTCTCATGGTATGAGGTAGGCAGTAGCTTGAAGGGTCTTGCCTAAGGACCCAGACTGGATTCGAACCGTTTTATGGTGAATATGCTTTTACAATAAAATCGTCTTTCCAGTGGTGCACACTGCTAACAAAAAGACGCTAATGCTAGCTATGGAAAACTAGCAGATGCTAACTGTAACGATGAAGATGACTGTCTCGGTGTCAGACTTTATGAAACATTTTGATTGGTCATCTGGGACAGTGGTCAGTTTGAGCTGTTGCTTGTCCCTCAGTGGTCGAGATATTGACCCCGTGACCCCAGATAAACGTAGGTCATGTGGGTTCACCTGTGCAGGTAGACCACTTCTTTCTCTGTAGGTTAATATTTTCTGATCAAAGCAAACAAACAAACCGTCGGATCAGTTGCTGTTGATCCTCTGGAGAGCCTTCAGTGCTGCTCCACCTGCTGCTGCTGCTCCACCTGCTGCTGCTGCTTCACCTGCTGCTGCTGCTTCACCTGCTGCAGCTCCATTTGCAGTGAGAATGTACTGGAGGAAACTTTGGAGTCAGAGTTTGTCTCCATCGTATCAGACTCCTGTACTGACGATGTGTCAGGGTGTTGCCGGTTAACTAACTCAGGGTCGGCTGAACCTGACATCAGCTGGCGAACAGTGATGCTGCGGGTCACCATGTTTCACTGCGTCCAACTTAAAGACTCCAGTTAATGCAGAGCTTCAGACTGGCCAGCAGGGGGAGCTGGTTCCAGTCAGCTAAACCCTTCTGTGTGTGTTTTTCAGGCTCAGCTGCTGGAGCTGAGGACTCAGAACTACCAGCTGTCTGATGACCTCAGGAAGAACTCTGCAGGTAAAACACCAAGGCTGCCCGCAGGATCACTCCTCCTCCACCATGCCAGAACCGGTACAAATAACTTCTGGGTCTGTTTCAGAGCTGAACGCCGTCCGCCTGAAGCTCGGCGTTCTGGAGAGAGACCTAGTCAAAGCTCAGAAGGTGATTGGCTACTGGTTGGTTGGTTTCTGGCTGGTCTCCTTCTGCTTCTACTGATTTTTGTCTCGTTTTTTCTTCAGGCTTTAAACAAGAGTAAAAAGGCTCAGGTGAGTCTCCGTCTTGGTTGCTATGGTTACTAGGCGGCGTGACCCCATTCTGACCCCAGGTGTCGCTGCAGGAGGTGGAGGCTCTGCTGAGTGAGAACGAGATGCTGCAGGGGAAGCTGCACAGCCAGGAGGACGACTTCCGGCTGCAGAACAGCACGCTGATGGGCGAGCTGTCCAAGGTAGGGCGACCTCCGCGTGACCTGAGGTGACCTGAGGTCACCCCAGCCTGACCCCTGTCCCTCAGCTCTGCACGCAGATCGAGCAGCTGGAGACGGAGAACCGGCGCCTGCAAGAGGGGGGCGGAGCCTCTGGGCCCCCTGCTGACTCCGCCCACGGCCCCGCGGACGGGGAGCTGCTGCGGCTGCAGGCCGAGAACGCCGCGCTGCACAAGAAGCTGAGGGGTGAGTCTGATGGGGGGCTCTGGAGGTCTGGTCCGGACCAGGCGGGTTCTATTTGGTTTGGTCCGTTTCTGATGTTTCAATCGCTCCTCTTCTTCTGCAGCTCTCCAGGACCGTTTCGACGGGGAGCCGCAGGGGGCGCCCGTTGCCACAGAGACGGATGGACCAGCTGGCACCAATGGCGTCTCAGATGTGGCAGGGGGCAGGGCAGGGGCGGGGCCAGAGGGAACCAATCAGAGGGAGGAAAAGGTGAGCACCTGTAGCAAAGCTGGACCACAGAGTTCTGTTCAGTCCGACTCAGTTCTGTCCCGGTTCTGTCCCGGTTCTGACCCGGTTCTGTCCCGGTTCTGTCCCGGTTCTGACCCGGTTCTGTCCCGGTTCTGACCCGGTTCTGTCCCTCAGACTGACAGCGGCGTGCAGCAGTCAGAGCAGCAGCGTCACGGTGAGTCTCTCTGCGTTGCCACATCAGCTCATATCAATAATATCTCATCAATATTCATGTCAGGTTCCCCCAGTTAACCTGCTGAGTGTTTTTGTATGAAAGATGTTGATTAGACAGGAAATGTAAAAATATTACTGGATGTTACAGGAAAACATCTCCACTGAAACTATTTAAACCACAACTAGTCTGAAAAACAGCAAATCAAAAAATGCAATTAAAATGAATATTAATTATTTGCACTTGTGTTTAATCCACATGAAGGCAGCGGGTCCCTCGGCCCCCGGGCTTCAGGGGCCATAAATGATCATATTTGAACAAAAACCACAGATGTATAAATGGAACATTTGTTTATTGAGATTATAAATGCTACTAAAGTTGATTTAATGGTTTCAGCATAAAGTAAAATATTTTAAATTGTTTAACATTTAAATATAAGATTTTAAGGAGCTGGCAAGTTTACTTTGTAAAACTTCAAAGAGCAACATCCACAGTTAGATTGTGACCATAGCAACAATCTGATGCTGCGAGGTTAATCTTTGAGTTTGAGCCGTTTGTTCACAAATACAAATGAATAAACTGTAATTATAGTTGTCAGGTTGGCCAGTTAATCTACTTTAATCTCCCAGATTAAATCCAACAGAAGCTGCTAGAGGTTCTGATGTTCTAGCAGCAAGAGGGGCCCCAAAGTCAGGCTCTGCCCCGGGCCTCATGCAGCCTTGGACCGGCCCTGCAGGATGAGTTCAACCTGCTGCACTGCAGAGAGGAGCAACAAACAGATTTAATTCAATGAACCGCTAAAACGTTAACAGAAATGTTAGAGCTCTAGCAGCTCTAACATTTCTATCTGTCCAGTTTTAATACGAGTCACAGAAACTGTTCTGGTCGCCTGAGTTTATGGGACGAGATTTTCAGATCTGTCTTTAACTAAGTGGACAAAGCATTTGACATGGCTGTAGCTTCGTGTAACCGGAAAAATCAAACTAAAACTATTAATAAAACAGTATAAAAGCAGCGTGATGCGAGACCGCCAGGAGAACTGAAAGCTCCTCACCGGCTGAACCTGCACGATGAGCTTAGCGCTGGTTCGCTAAGCGCTAACGCTCCGGCCAACCGGGAGCACAGACATAAACTTTACTGGGAAGACAGCGCCACCCGGTGGGCAGCTGCTGAGATGGAAACGCCATACACAAAGATAAATCCCTCTCAGGCTCCTCAACACACCTCTGACAGCGATTTCAAGTTATTCCTGCGCTTCATAGAGCTGCGCAGCCAGAGCTAACGCGGTGGGGTTAAACTTAAAGAATGATTCCTCACAAGGGGTTGATGTAGATATGCATACAGGTCAGCCTGTCCAGTTTGAGTGAAAGGTCAACTTCACAGAGCAAGCGAGATGCCACACGCTGGGCTTGCAATTAAGCTTTACAAAACCTTAAGCATTTTTCTTTCTTTTTTTTTGAATTATTATTTTCCTAAAAAACAAAAAAACAAGCAACGTTTAGCCTGGCCGTGGGGCAAGGAGAGAATGGCGGCCAGCCAGGCTTATAATACAACAGCGACCTCTTCTGGCAGCGGCTGGTCGGTTCTCATTGTCTGTTTGTTCAGAGCGACAACTGCAGATGGAGATGGAGCTGAACACCCAGACAGAGGAGAAGAGACTCCTGAAGGAGCAGCTGCTGGCCCTGGAGGTACACACTGACACACACTGATACACACTGACACACACTGATACACACTGACACACACTGACACACACTGACACACACTGATACACACTGATACACACTGATACACACTGACACACACTGACACACACACTGATACACACTGACACACACTGACACACACTGACACACACTGATACACACTGACACACACTGACACACACTGACACACACTGACACACACTGATACACACACTGACACACACTGACACACACTGACACACACTGACACACACTGATACACACTGACACACACTGACACACACTGACACACACTGATACACACTGACACACACTGACACACACTGACACACACTGACACACACTGACACACACTGATACACACTGACACACACTGACACACACTGACACACACTGATACACACTGACACACACTGACACACACTGACACACACTGACACACACTGACACACACACTGACACACACTGATACACACTGACACACACTGATACACACACTGATACACACACTGACACACACTGATACACACTGACACACACTGACACACACTGACACACTGACACACACTGACACACACTGACACACACTGACACACACTGATATACACACTGACACACACTGATACACACTGACACACACTGACACACACTGACACACACTGATACACACTGACACACACTGACACACACTGACACACACTGACACACACTGATACACACTGACACACACTGACACACACTGACACACACTGACACACACTGATACACACTGACACACACTGACACACACTGACACACTGATACACACTGACACACACTGACACACACTGACACACACTGACACACACTGATACACACTGACACACACTGACACACACTGACACACACTGATACACACTGACACACACTGACACACACTGATACACACTGACACACACTGACACACACTAATACACACTGATACACACTGATACACACTGATACACACTGACACACACTGATACACACTGACACACACTGATACACACTGACACACACTAATACACACACTGATACACACTGACACACACTGACACACACTGACACACACTGATACACACTGATACACACTAATACACACTGATACACACTGACACACACTAATACACACACTGATACACACTGACACACACTGATACACACTGACACACTGACACACACTGATACACACTGATACACACACTGATACACACTGACACACACTGATACACACTGATACACACTGACACACACTGATACACACTGACACACACTGATACACACTGACACACACTAATACACACTGACACACACTGACACACACTAATACACACTGATACACACTGATACACACTGATACACACTGACACACACTGATACACACTGACACACACTGATACACACTGACACACACTAATACACACTGACACACACTGACACACACTAATACACACTGATACACACTGATACACACTGATACACACTGATACACACTGATACACACTGACACACACTGATACACACTGACACACACTGATACACACTGACACACACTAATACACACACTGATACACACTGACACACACTGACACACACTGACACACACTGATACACACTGACACACACTGACACACACTAATACACACACTGATACACACTGACACACACTGATACACACTGACACACACTGATACACACTGACACACACTGATACACACTGACACACACTAATACACACACTGATACACACTGACACACACTGACACACACTGATACACACTGACACACACTAATACACACACTGATACACACTGACACACACTGATACACACTGATACACACTGATACACACTGACACACACTGATACACACTAATACACACTGATACACACTGACACACACTGATACACACTGACACACACTGATACACACTGACACACACTAATACACACACTGATACACACTGACACACACTGACACACACTGACACACACTGATACACACTGACACACACTGACACACACTGACACACACTGACACACACTGATACACACTGACACACACTGATACACACTAATACACACTGATACACACTGATACACACTGATACACACTGACACACACTGATACACACTGACACACACTGACACACACTGACACACACTGACACACACTGATACACACTGACACACACTGATACACACTAATACACACTGATACACACTGATACACTGATACACACTGACACACACTGATACACACTGACACACACTGATACACACTGACACACACTAATACACACTGACACACTGACACACACTGACACACACTGACACACACTGATACACACTGACACACACTGACACACACTGATACACACTGACACACACTGATACACACTGACACACACTGACACACTGATACACTGATACACACTGACACACACTGATACACACTGACACACACTGACACACACTGATACACACTGATACACACTGATACACACTGACACACACTGATACACACTGACACACACTGATACACACTGACACACACTGACACACACTGATACACACTGATACACACTGATACACACTGATACACACTGACACACACTGATACACACTGACACACACTGATACACACTGACACACACTGATACACACTGACACACACTGACACACACTGATACACACTGACACACACTGACACACACTGATACACACTGACACACACTGATACACACTGACACACTGACACACACTGACACACACTGACACACACTGATACACACTGACACACACTGACACACACTGACACACACTGACACACTCTGACACACACTGACACACACTGACACACACTGACACACACTGATACACACTGACACACACTGATACACACTGACACACACTGACACACACTGACACACACTGATACACACTGACACACTGACACACACTGATACACACTGATACACACACTGACACACACTGACACACACTGATACACACTGACACACACTGACACACACACACACACACTGACACACCCCGACACACACACTGACACACACTGATACACACTGACACACACTGACACACACTGACACACTGACACACACTGACACACACCACACACACTGACACACCCCGACACACACTGACACACACTGATACACACTGACACACACTGACACACACTGACACACACTGACACACACTGATACACACTGACACACACTGACACACACTGACACACTGATACACACTGACACACACTGACACACACTGATACACACTGACACACACTGACACACACTGACACACACTGATACACACTGACACACACTGACACACACTGATACACACTGATACACACTGACACACTGATACACACTGACACACACTGACACACACTGACACACACTGACACACACTGATACACACTGATACACACTGACACACACTGACACACACTGATACACACTGACACACACTGATACACACTGACACACACTGACACACTGACACACACTGATACACACTGACACACACTGATACACACTGACACACACTGATACACACTGACACACACTGACACACACTGACACACACTGATACACACTGACACACACTGACACACACTGATACACACTGACACACACTGATACACACTGACACACACTGACACACACTGACACACACTGACACACACTGATACACACTGACACACACTAATACACACTGACACACACTGACACACACTAATACACACTGATACACACTGATACACACTGACACACACTGACACACACTAATACACACTGATACACACTGATACACACTGACACACACTGATACACACTGACACACACTGATACACACTGACACACACTAATACACACACTGACACACACTGACACACACTGACACACACTGATACACACTGACACTACACTGATACACACTGATACACACTGATACACACTGACACACACTGATACACACTGACACACACTGATACACACTGACACACTAATACACACACTGATACACACTGACACACACTGATACACACTGATACACACACTGACACACACTGACACACACTGATACACACTGATACACACTGATACACACTGACACACACTGATACACACTGACACACACACACTGATACACACTGACACACACTGACACACACTGACACACACTGATACACTGACACACACTGACACACACTGATACACACTGACACACACTGATACACACTGACACACTGACACACACTGACACACACTGACACACACTGATACACACTGACACACACTGACACACACTGACACACACTGACACACACTGATACACACTGACACACTCTGACACACACTGACACACACTGATACACACACTGACACACACTGACACACGACACACACTGATACACACTGATACACACTGATACACACTGATACACACTGACACACACTGATACACACTGACACACACTGACACACTGATACACACTGATACACACACTGACACACACTGACACACACTGATACACACTGATACACACTGACACACACTGATACACACTGACACACACTGATACACACTGACACACACTGACACACACTGACACACACTGACACACCCCGACACACACACTGACACACCCCGACACACACACTGATACACACTGACACACACTGATACACACTGATACACACTGACACACACTGACACACACTGATACACACTGACACACACTGACACACCCGACACACACACTGACACACACTGATACACACTGACACACACTGACACACACTGACACACACTGACACACACTGATACACTGACACACACTGACACACACTGACACACACTGATACACACTGACACACACTGACACACACTGACACACACTGACACACACTGACACACACTGACACACAC